TTAAAAGTAGAAATCATGCACACAAACAAGAAATCTAAATTAAAACCAAGTATAGTCACAAAGATAAATACTCTAAACACTTATCTCAAATCCTCTCCATCAAATGTCTTGAAGTTCCTTTGAATTCTCTTACTTCACTCATAATACAAAACTAACACTCAAAATAAAAAGTAGTTGCTGGCAGTGGGTTACTTGGATGAATGATGACTCTAATGGCTAATGGTTGGCCTCTTCTCTTGATGATCCAAGTCTTTTTTAATAAAATTCCAAAAGGTGCCTTGGTGTCTCTTCAAAATGCGTCTTCATTCAATGAATCTTCTAGAAGTTCTCCTTTCAAAACCCAATTGATTGAATTTTCGTGTTCATGGGTTGCTTCCCACGTTTTTATCAAGGGTTGCTTCAAATACCTCATCAAATTTTTTTCTAAATTCAATGAATCATCAAATAACGATTTCTGGCGCTTAAGCGCGGGGTGCCTGGCCCTTAGGCGCAGCTCTCTAGTGCATAGGCGCCCCAGTTCAATTTTTGCACCTTCTTCATTTTTGCTCCAAATTTGACTCTTTTTTACTTTTTTTAGCATTTTTCATCAATTTGATTGTATCTGAAAGAAAAATACACAAATACCTTTAATTAAAGCGTAATATCTCAAACATAGTCATAAAAATGTGTATAAAAATACTATATATTTTAGGTGAATCAGCAAGTCGTCAAGCAAGTCACCAAGTAAATCCTTCAAGCCTCTAAGAACTTCAAAGTTCTTCTCTCCCAAAAGACTCGTCCCTCTAAAAGACTCTCCCCTCTCTTAAAAAACTCCCTTTTAACTCTCCTACAGTCTTTCTAAATAGAGTTCTCAAAATCACCAAGAGTCACTTTAAGCACCCCTTCAAAAGTAGTCCACATTCATTGATCTTTATTCAAAACTATTTATGGCGCTTAGGTTTCAAATCCTGGCGTTTAGGCGCCAGTCTCTCTATTTTCTGGCCCCATATCCTGGGGTCTAGGCGCCAGGTCAACTTTGGCCTTTTTGCTTCCGTTGACTCCAAATTACTATATTTTTGTTCAATTTGCTCCACTGGCTTCATTTATTGTACATGCAATTAAAAACATCAAAAATATCTTTCATTAAAGTGCGATATTATTAAAAACAGGCATTAAATGCGCAAATAAAATTAATATATTTTCAGCATGTCAGCAACCAACAAGCAATATAGCATAGATGGGAGTTCTGAATGTTGGGTAGTAACAGGCCAATAAGAAGCGGCAAAAGTTAGCAAACAGGTCTCTTGAAAGTCTCTAAATAGGCCACCAACCTCAGTCGTTGAAGGCTTAAAGCTACCTAATCCACCTAAAAAACTATCTATTTTTATGCACATTTTATACTTAATTTTTTTAGGAAATTATGTTTTAATGAAAGGTATTTTTATGTTTTTTGTTGCAGGTGCAAGAAAAAAAAGTTTAGGAGCAAAAATACATAAAAAAGAGCAAAATGGGGTAAATTGAAGAAAAGTACCAAACCAACTGAACTGGCGCTTAGGCGCCACAGTTATTTTTTAGAAGATTCATTGAATGGGCCGAATTTTAAAGAGATGTCTGAAGCAACTCTTGATCATTCTTGAAGCTCTATAAATATAGATTAATTCCAAAGGGCTAGAGGGGTCCGATATACAGAGTCTCATAGTGTGTGAGTATGTTAAGTGTGTGAGAATTTTTCCTTGCGAGTCTTTGTTATTTCTGGAGTTTGGGAGCCTTGTAAGTACTGAGAAATCAGAGAAGTCAGAGAACTTCAAAGGAGTGCTTGGGGGAACATTCTAGATAAATATTTGTATCTTTGTCTTTAAGCTTTGTACTTTTGATTGGAGTTTTATAAATAAGATTTGTTTTGTTACCCCAATGCTTTGTGAGTAGTTTTCTTTCTTTCTCCTTTCAATTTGTAGTAATTAAGTAAGTGATTTTGATTTTGTTTAGAACTTTTTTTATTCCTAAAAATTGTGATGATATTTTTACTGGTTCTTCATTTACTTCACAAATTGGTCACTTGTATTGTTAAAACATGTTGAGGAACTTATAGGCCTGAAAGGGCTAAGATTTATTGACTTATAAGTATCACATTTAACTTAGAAAGAGCAGTCGCGATCGTCTAAAGGGGGGTGCAAATAGATAGGAAGATAAGATTTGATGAGCGTAGAATTTATGTTTCTAGAGTGAGGCTGGATTATTTTATCAATTTGGTCTAGAGATTGGAACTAAGCGTCACTGGTAGGTCCTATAGAGAGGGCACAGTGGGTACTCTAGGAGTGAAAGGCTAGAACCTACCCAGTGCTGCTATACATGCCAACAACAACTTTATATTAGTCAATGGTCTTTGCACAATTTGAAAGAAAGTAAAAAATAGGTATGCTCCTATTTGTCACAATACCATATTTAAGTTTTTAAACAATTTTTGAAATCCTACACTGATTATGAATTATTGGCAAGGAGAAAGTTTATTTTTATATATTTTCTAAGTCATTACATTTGATTTTACTTGCATATTATAGAATTTAATAAAGCTAATTTTCATCCTTATATAGTTGCTGCAATCTTAAGTAAGGTTTTCTTAAAGTTAAAATTATTGTATTTCAGTTTATTATATTCTTGTTTTCAGCTTCGTCGTGGAATTGATACTGGGGTTTTTAAATAAAGCTCTATATTACTTGAAACGATACGTATACTTGTGTAGTACCCCTAGTGAGAGAACTAGTTCTTTAATTTTTATCATATTAAATTTGTTCTCACTAGCTGCTAAATATAATTTGGGTCAAGTTTTTGGCATATTAAGAAACATAAAGATATGCGTAATTTTTGGTTGGGTCACTACCATCAACATTAGCTTTAAGAAATGGTAATAAGGTTTAATCCTAAGAATATGTTGTGCTTCAATTCTGATATTGTGAGCAGGTTTGGTAGTGATAACAACAATCTTTTTTCCCAATACCCGCAATTAACCTTCTAGGACCATGTTTTGTGGATTTAAAAAAGAAAGTTTGATGTGAGTAATAATTATGTTAGTGAGGAGAATTCCTCCTGGTGTTTCCTATGATTTCTCTCTAACCATATAAACCAACATCAAAAATAAGGAAAAAAAGTTTTTAAGATGCTTCTTATAGTCATCATTCTTTTAATTCATTGTATTGAACATGTAAGCTGAGGAAACATACTTACTACATCTTCCATGCAAAAATCACATGTTTAGCTCTATCACTTCCATGCAAGTAGGAAATCTTAATGAAGTAGTTTACTTTCATACTTGTAAACTTATGTGTAAAGTTTTCATGATTGTGACCTTATGTGAAAGCCTTGCATGCTTAAATTCATGCCTTAGGTAAAAAATTTCCATGCTTAGCTACATGTCTTATGGCCAAATGCAAGTTGGATGTCGTATATTTTTCAAGCCAAATGCATGTTAGATCTCATATGTTTTTCCATACAAAACACAAGTTGGGAGGTTTATGTTTCTATGTGAAAATTCATATTCTAATTGAAATCAATGTTTGGGCTTACATGCATAGAAGAGGATTATTTTATATGTTGAGTAGTAGTGAATCAGTTACAAAACTAACTATTGTTATAAAAATATACAATGTGCTTAATGTTAATTATTTTTATTAAAAAATGCATAAATTAAATGTGCTCAAAATTGACTATTTTTATAAAATTATATGTATATTAAATGTGCTCTAATGTAACTCTTTTTTATAAAGTTACATATAAATGTAAATGGCTCTAAAAGATTTATCTTTACATATGTTTGAGTGAGCCTCAAATAGAAAAGTGATTTCATAAAGTGAGATGAGTTTGTGCATGCTTTAAGATCTACATTTTCAAAATTCATCTCTAGTATTTAAAAATAATATAGAATTTTCAATAAACAAAAAAACAATAATGAAAATAAGGGAATTTTTTTTTTGTAATGACTTCCCAAAATTCAAACTTAATAAAATATTTTCAAAAGTGAACCTCTCTAAAACATAAATAGAAATTATCAAAAAAAAATTTAAAATTAAAAATATATAATCTTTGCTTTAACTTACTAAAAGCTTAGAAAAACAAAAGAAAAAAGAAAAATAAAATATTTTCAAGAATAAATAGAACCTTTTCTAAAAACAAAGATTGGCAAAAAAATTCAGGAGAAAGATAAAACAAAATCCTTCATATGTCAAACTCAAGTAAAAACTTTTTCAAAACAAAATTCAAACAACCCTAAACTTCAAAAAACCCTCAAATTCTTTCAGAAGAATTTCTTGAAACAAAGTAAAAAACTTTTCCAAAATAAACTTGAAAAAAACCAAACTTTCCAAAAAAAGAGTTTTTCCAAATAAAAAATGAAACATTTTACCAGTAATCAAATTTAAAAAAGAAACCTTTAAAATCTTCTTTTAAATGATCTCATTCCTTAAAAAAACTCTCATGAGTATACTGAATAACTAACTAATACAAAACTTGTGCATGTTCAGAAGTATAGCCTATACATGAACTTGTTCTCTACCAAGAACATATGATCCATAAGTTTAACCCTCAAGCACACAAGATTTGGACAATTTCATGTGTATACACTTTCTAAATTAAGAACTATTCATATGTTCATAATATTTTCATGTGACAAAATAAAATACTTCACCAAATCTGTCTCTTTCATATGTAAAAGAATCTTTTGAAAATAAGCATGTGATTAAGACTTTTCTTGGCAAATAATTATATATATATATATATATATATATATGAAATTTCCCAATATTTATTTTGATTTAAAAAATATTCTTCAAACGCATGTTTTAAATAAAACCTCAATTAATCAAACAAAACCGGTCTAAAGATAGTGACGTTGAAAAATGGTGTTGAAAATAGCACATGAATGATCTTGTTGAACGGTTCATTTTGCACGCGCAAATGGCAGCGATTCTGTCGTAATAAACGTTTACGTGAGGGCTTTTTTTGTAAGTTTGCAGCAAAGGGCATTTATAGGTCAAGATCCATCGTGGTCCAACGGGTTGATGGCCGAGGAAACAGAGAGGAAGGATAGAAGTGGAGTACTGTGGCTGCGGGTGCGGAGCATTTTAAGAGGCAGGCGAGATTAGCTTCGGGAATCAAGGTATTCGGAGATGGAGTGGTGGCGGAGGATGGTAAAGAGGAGCAGTGTACCGGCGGCTGCGGAGAAAGAGAAACGGATGAAGGACGGTAAGTTTGCCTCCCTATCTTTTTGTCTTTGTGTTGTGTTATCACTTGGGCAGCGGTGGCTGGTCATGTACGGAGAGACGGTGGTGATCGTCTGTTGATCTCCGTGGCCGGGATATATTTTAGATCTTGAAAAATTATGATTTGCTTCCTTTACATCTAATTTTAATAAGTTAATAAATATTCATTTTTTCTTCCTGAAACATAGCACTCAATTCCTATGTAATTACACATAGCACTCAATTCCTATGTAATTACATATTTAAAACATAGCACTCAATTTAAGCAGGTAAGGAAAATTTTCTTATAATTTAATAAGGGATAGATTTCTGACCTTTTAATTCTTCTTTTTGAGTGTTAAATTCTTAGATTAATAAAATTATACATTATTAGTTGATAGTGGTGGGGTTTAGAAACTAAGTACTGGCCAATGGATTTTCTTCAACTGCAGCACTAAGAGATGAGCGGCTGCTCTCCCAGTTTCCTTCCTGACTCATTCTGCTTCCTCTGTAGAAAAAAGAAATAAAATAACACTAAAATAAAGTAGAGAAAATTACATACATAGCAACTAATTTTTATGGATTTATCTATCTCAAATTTATACACACGGCACTGTATCAAAAAGTTGATTTGACTATCAAAAGATGATGATGAGTATTATTTTTTATATAATATTTGTAAATATGAAAATATAGGTGTGAGATTGATAAATATGAAAAATTTAGATGTTATATATGTAAAAACCGCAATAAACAAAAGCTTATATCTATCTATCTATATCTATATATCTATATAGCTATATATATATACATATGTGTGTGTGCGCGCGCGCGCGTGCGTGTGTGCGTGCAGCCTTGGCCTGTTAGTGGCGGGGTCACTATAAGTCTCCTCAGATCGAGGGTTTGATTCCACCGTGGCGCGGGGGCTCTTGAATGTTAGGCACAGCGCAGTGTCACCTCCCAAAAGAGCCCTTAAGAGAGGTGGGCAGCCCAGGATTTAAATACTGTTTTTCGGCCCTACACCTAGCCGACCCGTCCACGTCACGCCCTCGTCACGGATTGGCTCCACCGAGGGTCCCACTAGACCATTGAGAGTCCACACACCTGGCAGACAGTAATTTGCTCTAATATCACTTGTCACCTCCCAAAAAAGCCCTTAAGAGAGGTGGGCAGCCCAGAATTTAAATACTGTTTTTTGGCCCTACACCTAACCAATGTGGGACTATTTGTCAGTGACAGCAGATTCTCATTATGGAGCCAAAAAGTGTATGAGAAATCGATATTTTGGCTTCTGCCAAATATCAATTTTCTTATCTATCTATATATATATATATACACACACACACACACACCTTACTAACATTTATTCTTAAAGTTTATTACATTTCTTATAAGTTAATGGTGTAACTTTCTAAACTATAATTTACTTCTTTATTTTGTAATATCTGGGTATTTATTTTGTGAATAAGAAATTTTTGTATGCAACAAGAAAGTCAAGATCCCTTTTTTATGTGCCCACCCTTCAATAAAGGATATTTTATACCTAATATTTAATCTGCTGCTCATTAAGTTGAGTTTTATCTTCATTAGCTGGTTCCATATAGTATAATTAAAATTTTAACCTTTATATCTTATAAGAAATGTATATTTATAAATATATTAACCAAGCATGCGCTTCTCAATTGTTGACCGGTTTCATATTTTATTAACGATGACTTTTATACGATTACTGGCACAAAATTAACCAACAACTTCATGTATTAAACCATATTATTACATGGCAATTGAAATTTTTTTTTTGGTTTTTATACTTTTTTTTCCATGTGTTTGAGAGCAATTTGTGCTCTTAAGTGGTCAAGTTCTGTTGTCTACATCAATACTGTCTGCATAAAATTTTTAGCACTTACATAAAAGCCTAAAAAATCTTCCTTTTTTTCAGTTTTCCCAATTTTATGGTGTTCTATTACTCTAGAGTGCGCTGTAAATGAGCCGGGTTTGAGCGGGCTTAATTAGGCTTCGCTCGTGTTTGGCTAATTAGTTATGTTTGAAATTATTGTTAACAGTGTTCTTCTTTGGCTTAGTTTATATATTGTTGTTCATGTTCGAATCTCTATGATTCATATGCAATAAAAAATGCAGAATCACATCATCACACGAGCTATAGTGATTTAAACTTAAGATAAAAATATACATAATATGTTATTATATAAATAATATATATAATTTTTTTTTTAATTTCGAACTAAAACTAAGCACAATCAAACAAAGAATCGTTTATAGTTCCAGCCCAAAAAAATTATATGTTCTCTGAGCCAACTTTTCGTTTTAAATATACATTTTTTTTTAATTCAAAGTGGAATCCACATGTATTGCATTATCATATATTTTATTCAGAAATTTCTATAGGCATAAAACTTACGACAATCAATGTTGATGTTACAGTTATATGTTATTAATCGGCTCGAACCTTTTATAAGAAAATAAAAGCAAACTACTTGCCATTAAAGTAATGTTTGCCCATTTCGTGCTCTCCTGTAGGGCACTCTCCAGGGCATTTTAAGCCCAGTTGACTACCATGCCTAAATACTCATTTATTGCAATATTAACTGACTTTCATTATGATGGTAACTGGCTTCATTGTAAGGGGCTGATTCTATATCACATAAATAACAATATTGTTTGCTAAGGTTCTTCACATAATTTTATTCAATTTTACAATATTGTAAAAAAATTTTTGCAGGAGGTGGATTCGTACAACTCCATGATGCCATACAAACGTGCGAGTATAAGGACATATTGGTGATGTGGGAGATGCTCCAAAATCCACATACAGAATTGATACAAGATTCAAAGCCTAAACAAGCAGACTGCAAGATTATTGTGACCTCATCACAGCATTAGCTAATCCATGCATGCTTGGATGGTCCATATAATTAATAAGGAAGCCATGGAGGGGCATATGAAATGTTTTATTAACTCCCACTATTTTTGATGGCATGTACATAGGAGAAACATGTTGATCATGTCATGTTGGATGCATGGTTACATGGATGAGGGTTACTTGTTATTTGTTACTATGTTTGAAGATGCAACCATTATTAAAATATATGGTTTTAAAAAGTAAATGACAATGAAAATGGAAATAAGAAAGGGATTTGTGATATATTATTAAGAAGTTAAAATAAAATAACTTCTGAATTTTTCAAGTGGCATTGCCATCTTCCTTGTATTATTTTTCTATGCCTTTGAATTATCCTTTTGTTATAAAGCGAAAAGTTTGTGCTCAATCAATGATAGAAGTTTGTTCTCGTTCAAAAGAAGTTATAGAAGTTTGAGTGTTGTGTTGATTTTTGGTTCTATTAAAAAGGAGAAAGTTAGAGCAACTTAATTTTGTAAACAAACAAGTTTCGAACACACTATTTTAATTTTTAGCTTATTATTCAAATAAATATTGAGTGTTTATTTCAAACAAAGAGTTTGTGGATTTGGTGTGAAACTAGATTTAGCACGATTCTAGAACAAACTTTGAACCTGATGTGTGCTAGAAAATTTGTGGCGGTAGAGTAATGGATTATCGTCTTAGCATTATACGAGAATTCAACACATATAGATAAAAGAAAAGAAAAGAAGTAAGCACGAGGAGACGCCACAACTTCTTATGTGGAAAACCCTTGAAAGGGGAAAAAACCACGGGGCCTAGCTCAGTTGAAATAGTCCACTATGAATGATGAGTACAAAGGTACATTCTTCTCATGAATTAGGGAAGATGATATTACAAAGTTGTATAATTATAATCTAGTTGCTGCTCTTTGTGACAGCAACTTACTTATAAGAGTCATTATTGATTGTTGTGGAGGTAGTAGTCCATTGTGAGTGTTGTAGATAATTGTTCCAAAAGCGTTGATTGGTCAGAGAAGTCATAATAAGCAGTTACGGGAACTGTGAATCACGTAGATTGTAGTTGTCGAATATTAATGACATCCATAGACCGTGGGGGTTGGAGTCAGGAGCTGCACGAACTGATGACCACGTAGGTCGTTGAGGTGAATATTGATGATGTTCGTAGGCCGCTGGTGCCAAAGTCGGGATTTGCATGAGCTGATGACCGTGTAGGTTGTTAGCATATTGATCATAATGGTGAGCTCTTATCCTACAGACGAGAGAGTATTTTCCAAGTTAAAACATTGGCCGACGACATCTGAGCAGCGGTGGTTGACGGCGATCGACGGGTGTTGACGACGGCTGACGGTGGTCGACGACAGTCGGGGGGAGTTGGACTTCAGCTCATTCTCAGAGCTTTCAATTCTCTTTGAAGCCTTCAGTCCCTCTTCTCATGTGAGGGGTGGGCTCTATTTGTAGTGTTCTGAGTGCAATTAATGTAAGAATATCAATCATTTTGATTGGATGGTCCAGAACAGAGAATTTCCTCTGATAATGTCGTGTTTAATGGATATTTAGTGTCTTAACAATGTCGGAATTGAGTGAACTTGATCTCGTTGGATTCGTCTTGTCGTGCATAGGCCCTCACCCGCACGCCCCTCTCCCGATCGTTCTCCTTCAGTCGGCCTCCTCTTCCTTTCGGTTCGGTCGAGGCCCGCTCCTCTTGGTGATGCCTTGACCCGAGTGAAACCCTAGTTGCACGCCCTCCTCCCTCCCCCCTCGCGTGATGGAAAGTTGCTCTTGTCCTCAACATTCTCTGCCCGAGGATCCTCCTTCCCGAAGTCATGCCTGCCTCCACGAGCTGCGAACTTCCTTCCTTGGTAGGTTAACCCTGACGAGCTTGTTCCCTGAAGCACTCAATTGGCAATCCCCTCTTCTTCCCGATGCTTCTCTCGCTGCTACCCTGCTCACCTCTGAGTCCTTCGCTCTTTGGTTGTCTCACCTCCGGTAAGTAGAGGGCATCTCTTCTCCTCCCCTAGGCTAAAAATAACCCACTTAGGGTAGTGTTTGGGTTGGCCGAAATTTTGGTGTGAGGAGGTGCTGCAAAAAATTTTCTTAGGCTTGTTCTTACATTTTCCTTGAGTTCTGTCTCAAGAGGTAACCCTTTTCCCTCCCTTAACTGCTCTGTCTTCTTGGTTTGCCCGGTACTCCTTCCTTCGTTGCTCGATACTGTTGTGGATTTCTTGATGTTTCGCTATCTTGCTTGGTCTTTTAAAAAAAAAAAAGAAGAGAAAGTTTTTTATTTTATCCCTAAAGAGTTGGTGAATTTCAAGTATGTGGGATTTCTTGGCTTTTATATCAACAAGTTTTCATGATAATAATCATGTTAGCTTAATCCCTGCACACCTCAACAAGTATGGGAAACTGACGTATTTGAGCCTTGGATGCTATGAAAAGTTTTGACCCGAAATTTCAATTCACCAAAACTTACATTGCTAGTTCTTTTTATTTTCTGGAAAGTTTACATACGTACCACTCTTCTTTGAATATTTACATGTGAAATAAAAAAAAGGGGGAAAGTTACATGCTGCTCGACTTCCTGAGACTTACATATACACCACCCAATTCCTTCATATTTATGTATATAACACCTGTATTTAAATGTGAAGTTATAGATGTGGCTGCAGATTTGAGGCTATTTATAGAGACTTAACATTCTTCTAGGAGTGTTGTGTCCAAGCAGTACATGTGGCATGTGACATCTAATCTTACCTTCAACCTCATACTTTCATTTGTTTATGATGCACATAAGACAAAACTTGGAATTTATGCCGCAAGCTTTGTTAATGATGCAAACTTGAGTCATGATTACAGTTGTGGTTATTTAACATGTTAGTGAATAATTCTCTTAGGTTTCTCGATAGATTGACAGCATTTACATACATACCACCTAATGCCCCTGCATTTACATATTTAACACCTAAACTTAAATATCTTTACTTCTTGGTTCAGGTTTTCGGTGCTTATGTCTGATACATAAGTGCGCATATATAGTCTTTTGTTATATATGAAACCATCAAGCAATGTCGCAAGTAGGTCGGTTTTGTTTTGGGGCTTTGAGCGGTGATGACAAAGGCACACCGGTGGTAAAGCGGAATAATATTTCATCCTACAACATCAGGACCCAATCCAGGGACCTGATGAACTGTAGGATGATAATATCATTCACCGAAACAAGACTAGCGTGGGACCCTGTCGGCACAATTTTTGGTGTGGGGTTTGCCCGTAAGAAGCTGTCGGTCATCGAAATTGAAATCCCGTTGCCCGCTTCGGAAGGATGTTTTTTTTAAAAATTTTTATTTTTGAAAAAGATGAAGTCAAACTGACCCCATAATTTTCATAGTTTAGATGAAAGAGCATTTTACTTCAAATTCTATATCTATCCCGAAGGATGAACACAAGAATTGAGGGTAAG